CCTCCTCCTCCTCCTCTTCCTCCCCTCCTCCTTCTCCTCCTCCTCCTTCTCTTCCTCCTCCTCCTCCTCCTCTTCCTCCTCCTTCTCCTCCTCCTTTACGCTTTTCTGGATGTTGATTTTCATTTAGCTTACCCAATGGACTAAATAGGCTAAGCTTTAAAAGATAACACATAACCAATACTTAACAGAAAAAATAATTTTGTATTTCAATTCTGTTAGGGTTTCTTTTCTTAATTAGGAAGGCGACTGTGCTTAAGTGGTGTCAGAACATCAGAGCAGGTTGTCCAACTGGGTCAAATTTACTTAGAAAAATAAAAGACAGAAAAATGTCAAAGGATTTAAGCTTTTCTGTTTAGTGAATATTAATACTTTCTTAGTCTTCTGTAGCTATCACATTATTTTCTCCTCGGGCATAGATAGATGGTAATTGCTTTATTTGTCCACAGTTTCACTTTCTTTTACAAGAAATGCTTCTACTCTGAGTCCTCCCAAAGGCCTGAAATTTCAAGCAGATGTTGATTCTCTGGTATTAATGATCTCTTTAAAGGTGTGTGTGCCTAAAGCTGGGCCAAGCAGAGCTTTTTCCTGGGATTTTATAATTTTGGATTGGAGAGATAGGTTGCAGGCTTCCTTTGATAATAGATATTCGAGATTCTGGCACTGATGGATGGACATGCACCCTGAAAAAGAAGCTAGTTCGTAGCAGATCCAAATGAAGCCAATAAACAGAAACAGAGTCACTTGAGGACTCCCCATCAGCCCTTTGGTTACCACAGCCATAAATTCCTTTTTGCCTAATTTGGATTTTTGTCAGACACAGCCAAAAGAGTTCTGACGAAGGTGTCCTCTTTTTGTTTTGCTGAAGCCTAAAAATTACAGGGTAGATTTTATAGTTTGATCATTACGGCTTAATCTAAGGGTACTTACACATTGCAAAGGCCTCTTTAAACTTGGCATATTGAAGAAATATTGTTGAAGAGGTTTGAAAATCCAGAAAACTACTTTTTCTCTCAGATCCCATAAAATGGGGATGAATATTTTCTTATGACACAATGTGTGGCAAGGATTAATTGAATTAATACAACTGAAGAAATCCTGAAAGAAAATCAAGGTAAGTGTTATCTCTATTTGCTTGAAGAGAAAACGGCTTCAGAGAATTCGATCAATCAAATGTCCACAGTACTGTGCACATTGCCAGCATCTGCCTTAGTTGTACATTATGAGCATCTCTATGAGTTCCCTAACCCATAGTAGACCCTTGGCTCCTGTGAAGAGGCACAGGAGTGAAGTGAGAGAGAAGTTATCCCCTGGGGCAAACGTCAAGACTCCTAGTCCTTCAAGAATATAAATCTGAGGCATGTTTCACACAGTTTCTCAGAGGTTCCCCACCATGATTGGAACCCCAGTGGTCCTAAGTGGTAACCAGCTAAATAAGGCACACTTTAGTGCCTTTCCATATGTCAATCCCCAACTTGCTTCTGCTTCCCCCATTTTTCTGCCAGATGAACTACTTTCACTCAAGATGTCATTGTCTCAGCCTCTGCTTTCAGAGGACGCCAAAATAAGATATAATTATTGATTACTCAAATCAATTAAAATGAGAAAAAGCATTGACAAAACTCATATCAATCTTGACTATTCATTGGTCTCAAAACTAAGACTTGAACCCCCAGGAAACTTAGGATTTTATTTGCATAAGCTATAGTTATTAAGAAATTCAGTTTGGTTTTGGAATAGAGATTGATGTACAGAAACACAACCTCATACACACATTCTCACACTCTGTGGGAAGGGTTTCCAGATCATTCTTTTTTGTGGTATTTGTTGGGTGGTCCAAGTGGGGAAGAAGTAAAGAGTCTTTGTTCTTTTCAGACAAACTTATAAACTAACTGAATAGACGGCTGGCCAAAAGATGGACTTTGTTTACAAGTCTGTTTATAAATAAAATAATGTTCTAATTTTTATTAAATAATGGGCAGTTAAGCAGCAATGAAAATAAGTATATTAGAATTAAACAAAGGAGGCCCATATCTCACTTTAAAGTGGTCAGCTCTTTTCCCCTAAACCCCAAACAATCCTGTCTCCTTACAACATCTTGCTTCAGAACTGACTACCAGCTATTGCAGGAAATTGAACTGTTTTTGATCTACATTTGTGATGAGTCTGCCATAATGTAATTCTGATTGTGCTGTCAAAGAAAATTACATATTCCCCCCCAAAAATAATTATGTGTAAAGCAAATGTGATTATCATTGTTAGTGTGGAAGGGTACCATTTAAAATCATGAATGAATATTTTTCCTTTTACATTTGCTGTTCCTCTTTGACCTTTCCTCCTTTCAAACAGCTAAGCAGTTTCATGGAGAAAACACAGAGCAAAAACTAGAGAAAAAATAAAGAAGTCTTTTTCCAAATGTTGCTCCTTTGAGAACTATGCTTAAGTCTCTTTACAAATAAAGTGATTTTCTGATTTTTATTAAGTAATAGCAAACAGTGAAATACTATGAAAAATAGTTATAATCGAATTAAACATGGGAGGAAGCTCAGAGTTGGTTTTAAAGCAGCCAACTGTTTTCCCACCAAGTCCCAAACTAAATGTAACATAGCCATTTCCCTTCCTTAGAGAAACAAAAGTTACTCCTAATTTTGATTGAAGATGTAGAAGAAAATACTATATGAGAAAGAACAACCCTCCTATGCCACATACCCTGGCGGGAAGGCTTGTTGGGCATGTGAGAGGAAAGAGAAGTGTTAAGAATGTGGACGTCGGCCGGGCGCGGTGGCTCACATCTGTTATCCCAGCAATGGGAGGCCGAGGCAGGCGGATCGCGAGGTTAAGAGATCTAGATCATCCTGGCCAACACAGTGATACTTCGTCTCTACTAAAAATACAAAAAAATTAGCTGGACATGGTGGCATGAGCCTGTAGTCCCAGCTACTCGGGAGGCTGAGACGGAAGAATCGCTTGAATCCAGGAGGCAGAGGTTTCAGTGAGTCGAGATTGTGCCACTGCACTCCAGCCTGGCAACAGAATAAGACTCCATCTCAAAAAAAAAAAAAAAAAAAAAATGTGGATGTCAGTAATTCAGGGTGAAAAGTCCTTTATCTTACTTCCATGTCAGAACCCGCCCCCCAGAGGCAGGAACACAAAACCAAACCAAACCCAGTTGGCCTGGGGCTGGCAGTACATCCCAAAAGAGAAAAGACACTTGCCTCCTTTCCTAGTTAAGATTTTTTTTTTTTTATTGTACTTTAGGTTCTGGGGTACATATGCAGATCTTGCAGGATTGTTGCATAGGTACACACATAGCATGGTGGTCTCTATTCCCCCTTCACCTACATCAGGCATTTCTTTCAATGTTATCCCTCTCCAACCTCTCCAACCCCCACTGTCCCTCCCCTAGCTCCCCACCTTGCAACAGACCCTAGTGTGTGATGCTCCCCTCCCTGTGTCCACGTGTTCTCATTGTTCAATACCCGCCTATGAGTGAGGACACGCAGTATTTGGTTTTCTGTTCTTGTGTCAGTTTACTGAGGATGATGGTTTCCAGATTCATCTATATCCCTACAGAGGATAATGAACTCATCCTTTTTTATGGCTGCATAGTATTCCATGGTGTATATGTGCCACATTTTCTTTATCCAGTCTATCACTGATGGGCATTTGGGTTGGTTCCAAAACACCAAACATGGAAAGGAACAACCAGTACTAGCCACTAGTTAAGAATCTGAGCAATGGCAAGACCCCCTCAAAACTGAATTGGCTGAGTGATATATCTAAGCACATGAGACCTTAAAACAGACAGCTAGGATTTCCACACTCTGTGACTAGAAAAATGAACAATTCTTTAGCACTGAATAGCAACATGGAAGTCATGCAGATAGTTGCTGGACCTGAGGGGTCTTGTGACAGAAACCAAGCATAGCTAATGCAATACAGGGATGAATGACTGAGGCCCAGGTGGCATACTGGACATCTCTGTGGATTCCAGGGTTCATAGCTGCTGACAGCAAGGCCACATACCCTCCTATGCCCCTGAATACCTTGGCACTACATAAGCTCCCAAATTTCTATACAACTCAGAGGAAAAATAGAGGCTCAACTAAGTTGGCTAACATGAAGTTTTCACTTCTTGGAAAAGTTAGGACACAAAGTAGCAATTATATTTAATTATAGAAAATAAGGGATTTTTTCATATACTTGAATATGCATGAACACATGAGGTGTACACTAATCATAAGTTTGTTTTTGATAGAAATTTTGCTTTGTTAAATCCACATTTATTCTTCCTTCTAGACTTAAAAGCAAAAAAAAAAAAATCTCCTTACAAAGAACATTAATGTGACATTTTAATTCTATTTAAAAATTGTCAAATTAAAAAAACCTTATGTTGCAGGTTTAAAAGAAAATGACATCTGCTTGCCTTTCTTTGAGTTTTGCTTCTGCTGTGCTATAATCATGAAAGTTCTGTTTTGCACACTTAGGCCTAAAGCTCACTTATTATCTCCATGTTACTAAAATCTTTTGGTTTGATTCTTTAGTGTCACGATGTAGAAAGATGATTGCATTTTGCCTGATTCTCATGTACCATTTGACAACCTCCTACTCAGAGAGAATTGGCAGACTGGGCTCAGTAGTTATTTTGCTGTACAAAGAGAATTAATACAAAGAAATATTCATACAACAGGAAAGGAAAAAATGAAACTCACAGATTTTGGCACAACATGAACTGATTTACTTCAGACAATGAATATCTTCATGTTAAGGTTATGTAATTAAAATCCTTCTATTTAAATTCTTTCAAATGTTCTTTTAAAAAGCGAATTTTCTTTCATTAAGAAAATTAGAATAATCCCTGTACTTCCACACCTCTGTATGTATAAGTACTAAATTATGATAATTATGCCTAAGAAATGTCAGCCCTAATTTATTCCCTTATGAGGCACCCCCGCCCACCTCCATTCCCACACATACATTCATTTTGTAAATTGTTTTTTCAGGTTCTCTAATGTAAATCAACGGCATTGAAGACCACAATTAATGCCTCCCTGTATCCATATCCTTTGCAAAGTGACCTTGCAGATTCTTCCATCAGGAGATAAGTCTATTGCCTTATTCCCTTAATCTGGGCTAAGCCTTGTGCCTTGTTTTAGCTAATAGAATGTGACAGAAGCGCTAAGGTGTCACTTTTGAGCTTAGGCTTTAGGCAGCCATGAATGCTTCTGCTTTTTCTCTTGAAACCATGCCACTGCCCTATGAATAAGCCTAGGCCAACTTGCAACGAATAAGAAGGATAAGAGAGTATGTAGAAGAGAGCCCCATTATTCCAGCTGAAGCCAGCCTAGAGTTAGATGATCCTTAAATGTGTGAGACAGTCCACCCAAAACCAGAAAAGCGGCCTACTAGACCTGTGGCTGATTCAGATGCATGAGTGAATCTAGCAAGAATCCAAGAGCTACCCTGATGACTCCTAATATGTGCTTTTGTTTGAAGCCACTTAGTATTGGGACTTGTTTGTTATGCAGCAGAGCTAACTAATGCATCTAATAATTAGCATTTTCTTCCAATATTTCATTTTACTCTAGGATTTCTTAAAAGCCCTTGGACATTTGGATGGAGATTTATAATTTGTGTAATATTTTATAACATTGCATTGAGAATTTTCATGTGAACTGGGTGTGTAGGTTATTCAGTTCAGTATTTATTTATATTGTATTTATGTGGCATTTGTATTAGTCATCTTGGGATGCCATAACAAAATATCATAGGCTATTTGGGTAGCCATAGGTTGGCTTAAATACAAAATACTTATGTCTCAGATTTCTGAAGTTAGGGAAGTACATGATCAAGGTACAGTCTGGTTTGGTTCCTGGGGAGGGCTCTCCTCTTGGCTTGCTGACAGCTGCCTTCTTACTATGTCCTCTTCATGTGGTGGAGAAAGAGAGGGAGAGAGGGAGAAAGGAAGAGTGGGAGAAATGAGGGGAAGGAGAGAGAGAGAGAGAGAGCTCTGACACTAATTCTACCAGATTAGAACCCCAACTTTTTGACTGTATTTAACATTAATTACTCTCTTAATCTGAATACAGCCACATGAAAGATGAGAAATTCAACATATACATTTATACATTTAGGAGGACACAATCCTGTCTGTAACAGAGGCCATATGGTTCAATTTCAGAGTATGATGTATCTATATCTAGATTTTCCTAACAAAGGAAATAAAAAAACTTATTTAAAATATTTCTGGGACTGGCAATTCAACAACCATCCTGGTAATAGTATACTTCTCTTACAATCAGTAAATGCTTGCTTATATCTACTTATAAATTTTCAATTTCATGAAATTGAATACTTTCAATACAATTTAATACTTATACTCTCTTTTGTACAGTTATGGAATAAGTGATTGGCATATTATTAAACTTTTATTGCTTGAAGGCAGAATGGTCATAGCATTATTTCCTTTCCTCATTGTATTTGTTGATATAGTTTATGATTATGAATTTCAGGACTATTTCTAAAATTGCCAGTGATACCAGTTAGGGTCTCCCAAGATTGTTTCTTTCAAACAGCATTTGAAAGTTTCTTAAATTTGTTAACTGATTACATAAATCACACTGTTTCCATAGCACCCACAAAGATAATATTCAGAACGACCTAAACATCTTTCTCCACAGAAGGAAAAGGCACATACAAGGTATTTATTTTAAGATAACCAAAAAGATATTAATTTTTAGTTGATATAACTACTGTTTATATTAGTATGGATGCTGACCTCTCTTGTTCATCTTTGTATATGGCTTTAGTCACTTTCTACTGAATACATTGTACTGATTTATGCCAGCTTATTTTACTGCCACCCATTGATTCACGTATTCAATGTGTTAAATACTGCTCTAAGTTCTGGGAAGCCAAATATGGTAAACAAAGGAAGAAAAGGCACTATCCTAGGAATCTTACTATCTAGTTGGGAAGAGGGCAACACACAAATGAATATAAAATATACTGTCTAGTACTACAATGTGTTCTGAGGAAAAATAAATCAAAATAAGTGAATGGAGAGTGGTGGGGGATCACTTTAGACAGAGGGGTCAGGGATAGTATCTCTGAGGACATGAGATTTGAGTGGACATCTAACTAGAGTAAGGGAACAAGTCATACATGTATCTGGTGGAAGAAAATTCCAGCTGGAAAAAACAGCAAATGTCAAGGCCTGAAACAGTGAAAACTTGGTTTTAAAATTTGTAACTTAAGTAGTATTTTCTATTCCTTCAATCATTCGACTTAAGTTTTATTTGTTTTGTTTTGTTTTATTTGGAAGTGAGATTTCAAAATATAGCAAGGGAAGGCTTTATATAAAGAGACTGAAGAATGTTCTCTCTGGAGTTTTCTAAGATTAAGTTGCTTAAGTATTTGAAAGAATTTTTATGGCTTTGCCAAGTCCATCACCTTGTCCCAGCTGATGTTAAATTGGGATTTGTAAGCCTCTTGGTCATTCTTACCTCTATGCCTATCATTAATTTATTAAAAGTATTTATCGACACCTAAGATATATCAGGGGCTGTACTAAAGGCTGAAGATATATAATTGACAAGTAAACCATGGTCCTTGCTACCATAAAGTTGCTTATTCCTACTAGAGATCAGCTGTAATAATGGTAAAGAGATAAGCTTTGTCTCTTTACTACAAGTGTTTATAGTCTGCTATGGTCATTTACTAAATTTAGATATTATACAATTTATGCTTGTTTATACTTCAGATTTCCAGTTTGCAAAATGGGGATTCATTTACTTCACAAATGTTTGTTGGTACCTTACTAGGTCCCAGACACTCTTATAGGTGGTTTGGGATACAATAATCAACAAAACAGACAAAATTAACATAATATCTAATGAGAATGTTTTAAGATTTACCTAGACAATATATATAGTTCCCAGAACACAGTAACTACTAGATAAATGTTAGGTATACACTCTTTATATTTGCAAAACTGGTGCTGGTAAATATAAAGCCCTGATAAAGCATGGTTGAATTGAATTTTGTTATTTTATGGAGCAGGAAGCAACCTGTGTTATAGATTAAAAATACAGATATGGTGATAAAGTTATAGATAATGAAGTGAAAACAGACTAATGAAGAGAAAAACGTCTGAATGCGTGAGGTCTGTTCCTAACTTTTGGAGCTGACATTGAGAGGTGTCCATGGCATTCCTCTTCAGGCCTGTGGCAAAACTGCAAGTTGCCTTCCCAGTGTCCATAGTCTCCCTTTCTGTTTTTTTGTTGCCTGTTTTGCACAGGTTATCATGCCTTTGTCTAAATCAAAAGGATTATAATGCCAAGCATTCCTCACAGTCAGGATGGCCAATGAGATGCAATGAGAATTTACTTGGTGAGATTCCTAAAAAAGGTCTTTAAAAGAGGAAGGAACTCAGCTTGCATATGCCTTTCACCTTTCAGTGTTCACCTCCTCCTTGGTCTAGGACATAAACACAATGCAGGTTGTAAACAACCATGTTATGAGAATGAGCTAACAAGCAAAAGCAAACATGAAGATGATGAAACAGAAGACTGGAATGAGCCTGGCTCCCCAGTGGTGTTGTAGAGTTGCTAAATTAGCCCCAGATTTCCTGCTCAGTACCTTGTTACATATGCAATAGATATTCAAAGTTGTTTAAGGCACTGTTACATTTTTTGGGAGGTAAGGGGTAGTTTCTGTTATTCATAGCTGAATGCATCCTTCAACCAATATGAAGTTTTTGGATATCACTGTCTACCAAATGTTTTCATGGACCATTAGTGGTGACTCTTGCGTTTTTAGGTGTTTAGGTGGTTGCCCACATTACAAGCCCTGCTTTACTAACCAATAAAATGTGTGATTGTTTCAACCTCATAATTCAGTCTTCTCACCACTTATTTTAATTCTAAATTAACTTGAACACACAGGTGTGAGATGAATATGAGGGGTTGGCCAAACCTCTTCTTGTAGAGTGTGGAAAGTCTTTCTGTTAAGGAATGTCCAGTATATTGATGGATGCTCAGTGGGTGCCCCAAGAATACACAGAGTTGAGGTTGCTGATGTCATTCACATCAAAACCAGCTTCCTGCCACTGCTTTAGTGGCATCCATGTGTCATTTAAATGTAGAATTGTGGCTTTTTCACACCTATGCTTTTCCTATTTTCAAGAAGTCTTGGTTACAAAGCTAGAGAATCAGTTGGCCTTTCCATATATGAGTGAAAGTTTTAATCTTTTACTAATTAGAAGATAACCTAGATTCATTATTTTTATTCATCTTTCTTTTTAGTTATTAAAAATTGATCTTTTTATTTATAGCTACATGAAAAATTCTTTTGTAGTTTCTCCAAAGGTTTTCTCTCCCCATTATCTTTCTTTCTTTCTAAAATGAAACTTGAGATGTGCATATGGGAAAAATCTGTTTGTACATATGTTTGGTGGGAAATGTGGAAGGGAAAAGCCAGCTATCCGTTGCACAGCCATATTTTAAATTTGGACTGTATCAAGACGTCATAGTTCAGGAACATACCACTTCATTTAAATTGGCTTTTTGTCTACAGGTACCATACTTAATTTTCCATCATCTCTGGAGAGGATTTGTCAGAAATCATGAGGATGCATCATAAATTCTCCTAATGACTTTTAGCTCTGTTGTCTCAGTGTGCTAGACAGCCTTTGCCCCTTTGACTTCTGCATCAGAGTAGCATCCCTTAGGCATTTCTTATTACTTGCAGGGCTGAAGTCAGCACTTTCCTAGAGTGGGAAGCTCAGGATTTTTTCCTGGGAGTTGCACTAAAAACTTAAATAGTTATGGGCTGAGAATTTGTGTATACTGCATTTCTCCAGGTGAACTGAAAATTAGTAATAGGCCCTGACATTTCTCTTCAGACTATTCAGTAAGTATTTTATTTCCAGAGCTGAAAGCATAGGTACGCTATGAATGTCTGATTTATCCTATCCTCTCTATTCATGGGTGTCTATTTAAGAAGTATGTTCTAGTAGAAATGTCATGGTTTTGGAGACAAAAGACTCTGAGCTCTGCCAGTGTTTGACAAATGTAACTTGAAACAAATAGCCTA